GAACTTCACTGGGCTATTCAAGGTGCTGGAAATGCTGGCTATGGTATTGTTACCGCCTTAACACTCAGGATTTATCCTATTCCAAAGATCGTGACTACTGTACTTTTTTGTATGATTTTGATCAAATTCCATCATTATTTTCGGTAGTAAATCAATTGGGGAATAATTTTCATCGAAATTTAACTTTTATAATCAATATTTCTGCAAAATCACCAATACATGTTCGTGGGATTTATCTTGGATCCGCAAATGAGTTGCAACCCCTTGTGCAAGAATATATTGAATTAACGAAACCTACAAGCGTTACATATGAAGAAGGTGACTTGTATAGTATTATAATTAAGAACGCGGATAGTTCTAATGTTACTGGTTCTTTTAAAGTGAAGTCTTTTTTTATTGATTCAACCGGACTATCTAATAAAGGTGCTAAGTATTTAATGAGGTTTGTTGATAGTTTTAAATGTTCAATGGCATTTGAGTTAATGTTAACTGGTGGCGGAAGAGTTAATGATATTAGACGTAATGAAACTGCATTCGTTCACAGGGGCTTTTTATTTAATATAGTACTTAAAGTAACTATAAGCTCTGAAAAGTGTTTACAAGATTTGGAAAATTTTGCCAAACATTTTCAAAAAAATTATGCTAGTTATGAGAATTACCAAAATTTGATTGATAAAAAATTAGATAATTGGCAATGTAGGTATTATAGTGAAAACTTTGAAAGACTTGTTGAAGTTAAGCGGAAATATGATCCTTATAACTTATTTCATTGGAATCAGAGTATACCTACTAATACTGATGTTACATGTTATTAAATAAAATATACAATTATTCGGCATTTATTATTAAATTATTTGCATTTACTTAATAATATGAGGAACGAAATGCGCGAATGGCCATTATATTATTATATATAGAGAAGCATCTTAAATGAAAAATTTTATGTACTTTAATATAAACAATAATTCCAACAAATTAGCCAGATAGCTGTCTATACTCTTTTAGAAACTTGAGTTGAAATATTAAGATGTTAATACGCCTTATGGTTATACAGTATCTTTGGGTATATATAAAATAAAAGTGAATTTACAAATAAGGGCCAAAAATTACATATAGAGACCCTATTTTAATAAATTTTAACAGTTTTTACTATATCTCATGATACCGTAAACGAAATTTAACGATTTTGACACCATTCGAATCGTCTCATTGAGACGCATTGAATGGTACCAAAATCGCCAAATTTTAATCACTGGATTACGAGTTATTTAACATTTTCTAAAGTTTTAAATCGTAATATCTTGTTATCCCGTTATTAAAATTTAGCGATTTTAGTACCATTCAATCCGTCTCGATGAGATGGTATAAAATCGTTAAATTTCGTTTACTGTATCGTGAGATATAGTAAAATTTGCTAAAATAGGGCTCCTATATGTAATTATTTTACATTTTTAAGCCCTTATTTGTAAACCCCCCAAAAAAATATAGATCAAGATTTTTTTTTTTTTAAACGAGATCATGTCTCAGTTTCTTTATTGAATATTATATATAAGGTACATCCATCCATGAATGTATTTATATATACTAAAACTTAGGCTGGTTTACCTATAACCTATACTTTGCTAAGTAGGGTCTGAACCTCACTTAGTCTACGATACAAATATTGTCTATTGTTGATGGTAATGTATTATATGTATAAAAATGGTGAAACCAAATCTCTAGTTTTTTTCTTTGTAATATCTCTGTATTGTCTGTCTGTTCTTTGTTATTAGTCGGTGTTATTGTTGTAGCATTATGAGTATATAGATCTTGTTTTGTTAAGTTTGTAAGTTGTTGTGCTGAGTCTTTGATATGTGTTTGTTTACATCTTTTAATCTAAGTTCTCTTGTAGATATTTTTTATTATTTTGTGAAGGAGGTAGCTTGTGAAGTTGTAAGATTTCTTGTAGTTTTTTATTATTTGGTTAATAGTTTTTTTTGGTTTGTTTTGTTGTAGTGAATATTATCATATCTATTTCTTGTGTTTTTTCAGATAAATCAAAGTTTGTTAGTATTGTTTAAATGTCTAATTTGTTAATACTTTATGTTTTTGAAATGCTTCTTTTATTATATCTCTTAGAATTTTTTGTATGTTGTATTAGTTTTTCTCTCAATTCTTCTAGTGTATATTTGTTTCTTTTTTAATCTCATACAGATTGCAAGTATTAGAAGAATACTTGGTAGGATTACATTTGTAGAGATTGGCTTGAGTTGGAAATTTATCTAGTAATAGTTTAATTTTGAAAGCTTTGGTGTTTGAGTATTTTGAGTTTATGTTTTATGAGTTTGGACTTTTATCAAAACTAAAAAAATAATAAAAGCTGTCTTAGTTAATATTTTCTCTATGTTTGGTTTCTGTATTGTAAGTGCTATTTTGCTATATGAGTTACATTTTGTAAATATCTAATAAATCTTTAAGATGTATAGAGTATAGTATATTTGTATTATTAAGTTGTAAAAACATTACTTCTCATCTTGTTATATGTTATATCAAAGATATATAGTTTGTTATTAGGTTTTAGATTCTTAGATTTTAGACTTTCTATATATTGGATATTTATTTTTTTCTGTAAGTACTTTGAGTACTAGCCAGCTTGACTAGTTATAGATTGCAAGTATTAGTGCAAGATTATATAGTTTGGTTTCTTTGATGAGTTATATTACTTATATTAGAAGTTTTGTATTGCATATAATATTGATTATAGAATTTTCTAGTAAGTTAAGTAGTATACAGATTATTGAAATATATAGTATTTTATTTTTTGATAGCCAAAATTCTTGAGAATAATAAATTTGATTATTTAGATTTGAGAATTTTTACTATATAGTAATTGTTGTAATATTATTTATCTTTTTATTTTCTATTATAATAAATATATTAAGTTTGTTAGTATTTTTGTTAGTATTTTAGATATATATTTACTATAGTTTTTCTTTAATATCATTTTGTAAAATTGCTTATTTAAGTAATCATATTGCTTTTTGTATTTAGAAATTCTAGAAGAGTTAAAGATATTATTATCTTTTTTGAGAGCATTTTGTTGTTATATATTAATATATTTTCTAAAATATCATTTATATTGTATCTTAGTTTTTTTTTGCAGTCTACTTAGATTTTGTATAATTCTTTAGATATTTGAAGTTTGATGTAATAATTTTTCTTTTTCTTTTTTGAGTTATGTTGGTTAAGAGTATAGCTTTTACAATATTTAAGTTGATATAATATTTCTGTTATTGTCTAATATTGTATAATTATGTGTTTAGATTTTGTTGATATTTGTCTAATTATTCTATATTTGTTTATTACCTATTCTTTTGTTTTTTTTTTAAAGCTAGTATTATTATTTTTAGATTAAATTGTAGTGTTGTGTTTTTATTTTTTTTTTATCTAGTTGAGTATTTGTTGCTAAATTAACAAAAACTATTTTAGAATCAGTTTATAAGATATTTTTTGTATTGTTTGAAAAATTTTATACTATAGAATAGTTTGTGAAATATTTGGATTAGTAAGTTGTTTAATAAAAACTATAAAGAAGTTGTTAGTTTTCTTTTTTATTATATAAGCTATAAGAAGTTGAAATAATATATTATTAATTGAGTATTTTTCTACTTGTATCAGTTTAGGATAATTATTTTAAAAGTTGTATATAGTTTAGTTTATAGAATAGTATTCTTGTATAACTCAAGCTGTAGTTGTTTATAGTTCTTCTAATATAATTATGAAAGAATAGATGAGAATAGATTGATTTGATAATACTTCATTTTGTATTTGTTATAAATAGATTTTTAAAGATAAGCTATAAAATATCGAATAATTCAAAAAGTAGATAAAATTTGATATATATTGTTAAATTTGTATATTAGTTAATTTTTGAAAGTTATATATTCTATAGTAAAAAATTATAGAATTAGTAATTGTTGATACTAGATTTGCCTTATGTTTAACTATTTGAGTATGCTTGTTTGTAATATTGTTGTATATTTTAGTTGATATATAAGTATTTTGAATATGATATATAATTCTAGTAAGAATTATAATATTAATGATATATATCACTTGTTTCTTTATAATTCTAATATATTAATACTTTTTAGTTGTATTTTGAATTTCATTTTTAATTATCTTATAAATAGAAGTATATTTTTTGTTTGTTATAAACTAATATCCTAAGAATCTGAAGCTTTATATATCTTTGATAGCATTAATTGTAATATTGTTAAATTCTAATTAAGATATTTGTATATTGTTTGTAATAGCAAGTATAAATTTTGTTAGATTAATTCTGATATTAAAGAAATTAAAAAATAAGTTTATAGTATTTAGAATATTTTGTAATTGTTCTTTTGTATTTGCAATCTATAGAGTATTATTCATAAATACTAGAGTTGAATAGTTAGTTTTAATTTCAGTTAATTGTAGTTGTAATAGATTTATATATGATGATAGTATATATTCTTTATATAATCTATAGATCTTTGCAAGAAGTAGGTTATAAAATATATACTATAGAATAGATATAATAGTCTCATTTAGATCTATATATTGTTTTTTGAAATTTCAACTTTTGTAAGTTGAGGTGAGATCTTGCTTCTATCTTTATTTAAGTAAAATATAGTTAAAAGTTTATATAAAACTATCTGATAATAAATTACATACAAGAATTGAAGCTTAGATAATAATAAACTATTTAACTAAAGTTAAACTAAAGCTAAAACTAATTTAGAATTATCTGTAATCTAAACTTACTAGAATAGTTAAAACTTATTTAGATTTGGTTAGAGAGAATAGAGTTTGTAGAAAAGCTATATTTGATTTAATGTAATAGCCAAGTTAAAAGCTTTTGTATAGCAAGCTTAGTTGATAAAATTTAATTATATTGAGAAGAAAGGCTATATGAGTTATATAGCTTTCTAGAAATATGTAAGATTTGTTGATAGTTTCTTCAATTTTTATTTTTCCATTTAAAGTGAGAGTTCTATATTCTGATATTTATTATTTAAGACTTATACACCTATATATAGATAGGAGGGTACTATATTTTGTATATTAATGAGGCTACAATTAGCCACATATACAATTTTAGTTATTGTCTATTTTAAAGGTTTTGCCTAAAAGTTATCTACTAACTGCTATATCTAAGATCTGCTTGTAAATCCTATATTTAAGCCCTCTGATTTTTTAATGCTTTTTCTATAATATTAACTTAGATAACAGATATATATAGAACTATAAGCTACTTTATCTATAAACTAGACCTCTACTCTAGAATATTCTGTGCCTATTTCATAGTATATTTAGAGATTTGTATCTTGTTGATATTTGTACAAATCTAGTTTCTACTGCAGATCTCTACTAGCAGTCTTTCAAATATTTCACAAGGTAGATTCTCCTAAATCTAGTTAGCTGCTAAGCCAGATTAGTATTGCTATTTCTCCCTATAAAATAGACTTACTCACATCTAACTCAATTTGCATTTTTGTACTACTAGATCAAGTGTTAACTAGTGTGACTATTAAAATCTGTACTACTTTACCTAACTCAGAATTTCTACTATGCAGATCTCTTACTCATAGATCCTATCAAGATTTATTCATGATAGTTACATCTCTCTAAGTATAATGTCACATTTCTAATATCTGATTAATATTAGTATAATATGATTTACAGAGTTACAACTCTAGAAATGAACAAGGTTTACTAAAAGTTAGATATAAAGGTTTGAGTAATTATTCAAATTTGTTAACAGTAGGATTTGAACTTTAGACCTCTTATATAG